ATAGAGGTCCAAAGCGAAAAAATGCATGTACTGTACGTTAAAATCTTCACGTGTTAAATGAGGGAGTTACACTGACTGCTGATCATCAGGGAACCTTCAATTCTCAATTCTTATTGGATGTTTCGGACATACATTGCATAGACGTGCATTCAAACAAAGTGAGTCCTCGCTTAAAACAAAAACGATAAAACTAGTTAAAAATGTTGGTTAAAATTACTGCTATACGTATCACATTACGTAAGAATCAACTATGTGTATAGGTATTAAATTAAACTTCGTTATTATCAAATTACGTATATCAGATATATTAAATTCAAATTACTTTCGTTATCTGTTATTATCAAATTACGTAAGACTAGTATAAGAAGCTAAAATGTCAAAACAAATAATTTAATAACTCTTACTTATTCCAATGTGATAATATTGACAATAATTTAATAACTCTTACTTATTCCAATGTGATAATATTGACAATAAGTTAATTGCTGTTAGCGGCTGTTCAGTTTTCGATTTCTGGTGGCCGACCTCGAGAAAAAATATGGAATGCTTATGTTGTCGAACAAAAAAACAATACCAATCGTAATGGAATCACATTTAGCTAATGAACGTTTTAGTTGTCAACAAGATGTACAAAACTATTGGCATGATAAAATTGAAAATCGACGCAAATCAATAGATTCTGTTAATACAAATAATTCAGAATCAATTTCTATAAATCATCAAAATTCTGGATGAAGCATCGAATATTGTTGATGAGGTCTTAGAAAATGAGACTTACGATAATTAGCTTTAAACAATACAGTTTATCGCGCTTTTCAAATTTTGTTGTGTCCGCTGATTTTCATACATCACACTGGGAATCAGAAATTTAGAAAAATGCCAATACGTGATTGGCTAAAAATTATTTTTAACCAATCACAGATTTGCATTTATTCTAGATTTCTGATTTCCAGTGTGATGTATGAAAATCAGTGGACACAGTAATTTGAAAAGCGCGATAAATCAGAAATGTCGATTATATTCCAACACAAATAACATGACATTGACCAATCCACGTACAATACAATACTCTATATTACACTACATTAGTCG